CGAGAGAGTGAGTGTCTCTCTCTTCCCCTCTCTCTCTCTCTGTATGTGTTGGCGTAAAAGATGGCAATACAATTTGTTGATAGGAAAATCATCTGGTCTCGACAGAGTTCATTCTGATGGATTCCCATTCTATCAAATCTCATTTAATTTGCCATCCAACCCAACGACGCCATTTATTTTTTTTTCTTTCTCCTTGATATTTTGTACTAATTATGTATTTTGAAGTTTCAAGTGCAAAAACCAGGATGTTACCCATGACTATCTGATGTACTGGCCAAAGTTTACATAGTGAAAAAAAAACTTATAAAATCAGAAAATACGGCATTTAATATGATATATCCCGCTGATTTTCTCCCAAAATGGCTAAAAATATACTCCAGGTCTTATATATCAAGTACGTATCATATAGTCTAACGTTTACCCTGTCTGTCAGTACCTCTACCTCACCAAAATTCATAAGACTAATTATAAAGGTATTATCGAATACAGTAGTTAACTAACTCTGTTGTAAATATTTTGATTGGGTGATTCATTTTCTATGACTTTCAACCCTTACAGGTTATTTAAAGACATTTTAGATTGTTAGATTTTTTTAAGATAATAATGGTTTAATGATACATGTTTTACTAATTAACCCATAGCTGTGGAGGAGAAGAGTTGGATTCATTTCTTCCGAAGAGCATTAAAGAGCATCCGTAAGTAAATATAACGAACCCAACGAGAATTGGAAATTTGCTTTCCAATTAACAATTCCGAGCCGATATTCATTATACCGCCCGTATATTTAAGCTTACAGCGCATGGTATTCTCAATCGGTCAACCATTTAGGATTCAGCGTTGTTTAACTTCGGTGTTAACGTGGCCGTAAGCTTGTGAATATTTTTATTCGTATAAATTATAAAATGTTTTCGTTAAAGTAATGATTTTATAATTCTTTCGCGATCCAAATTAATATTTTTACAATGATTTTCACCATGTACAAGGACCGAGAGCCACTCAATGTAGATTATTAAAAAATAAAGAAAGAAGAGTGAAAGTAAAAATATATTGAGAAAAATTGTATTTCATTATTTTCAGTTTAAACAAAGAAAACATGAACAAGTTTATTCGTACCTATATCTTATTATGGTAAGTTTGTTTTCTGGATACACATGTTTGAGTAAACGTCCTGTTTTTTTTAAACAGTGTTAGTTACGTCTACCGGCACGTGCATTCCGGATACAATAAACAAAGTGTGAACTCCTACACCCCAATTTTCAGTCTTTATTTTCAAAATTCTAAAAGCCATTCTAATACAAAAGAAACAATCCACATTAAATTAAATATATTTCACCAAATGGGATGCTACATTAGAGTCGGTATAAAATATTTTATATGTGTCCGATATAATTAATACACAAAAATAGCACGTATAAATATTTGATTTTTACAAATTCGCTTTACCGTTACACATGACGTCATTTCGAACTATTTCCAGTTCCAGTTCCATTGATCTAAATAAAAAAAAAGCCGGAAAGAATAAAATTATAGTTTACCATAGTGAGAAGATTCAGTTCTTGATAATGACTGAAATAGTCAACTGTACTTGAACAAAACAAGAAAAAAATAATAAACTTTGAATAGATTTTTCCCAATTTCAATCCCGGTATAAGACATTTCATTTGGAAATTGGAAAAATATAATAAAAAAATAAATAGACAGAACTTATCAGTTGAATTTAACAAAGCTTTTGTGTATAAATTCTTGTTGCCTAATCACTCCTATCTATCTATCTATCTATCTATCTATATATATATATATATATATATATATATATATATATATATATAGTGTTTTAAACGGACTTTCATCCGGTGGCAACTAGGATTTTTAGAAGAATGGTTAATCAAGGTTCCGAGATTAAAATTGTCAAAGAGATTTCTAAATCTTTTTTCAAGACATCCTTTACATTTAAAAAAAATCTTTAAACTCCCAAAAGAAATCATGTTATATTAAATCGGGACGTTCAGACACGCCACTTTATCGTCATTAGAATCAGCATTAAAATCTCAACTTTGTTTGCCAAAGATTTCCGATGCACCTCAGATTCCATATCTTAAGTTTTGATTTATAATGCAGATATTTTGTCATTCATACATTGTTCTTTTCTAACAGCTGAGTAGCCTCGTATTTTCGTTCTCTTTTTCTACATTTTCTATGATACCATGAATTATTGTTTTCTGCAGACACACACACACACACACACACACAGAGAGAGAGAGAGAGAGAGAGAGAGAGAGAGAGAGAGAGATAAAGACTTCAAACCCTGAATAATATTTGAAAATAACAATGTTTGTATTAAATCTCTAAGATTCACACTTTGTAAAAGTTGAATAAAATAGTTCAGCCACCACAAAATAAAGCGTGATAATAAAGTGTACACCACATAACATATATATATATATATATATATATATATATATATATATATATATATATATATGTGTGTGTGTGTGTGTGTGTGTGTGGACATTGCTTTAAGCGAACTTTCATTCAGTTTCAACTACCCTTTTCAAAAGATTGATTAATCATTGTGGTTCAGAGATTTAAATTCTTAAACTTAGTTCTAAATCTTTTTCCAGATATCCTTCATATTTTCTAATTCTTTAAACCTTCAGAAGAAATCATATGTGATATTAAATCTGTATTAACTCGGCTTCTCATGAGAGGCAAATCTTGAATCCGTACTAGACGTTCAGACACGCCACTTTAGCGGCATTCTAATCAATATTCGAATTTATTTCTTTTCCTATACACCTCAATTTTCATGTATTTTCCATGCAGTCATTTTTCATCCATGTCCCACATTGTTCTTTTCTCTCTAACTGTTGTGCAGATTAATATTTTCCTTCTGTTGTTCTACATTTTCTATGACGCAATCCATTCTTGTGCTTTTTGCGAATAATATGATTTGCAACAGGAGCAACAACTAAAATGGATAGCCCATGTATACAATGACAATCTAGATACTGATGTTCTACACTAATTTTAACAAATCTTTAGGAAGGAAATTCCTATCAACACTGGAAAAAGCAATAATAGAATGAATGCTGAATGTTTCTTTATAAGGAAAAGGCAATTCTTTCTATTACCATTATCATAGAAAACGTACGAGAGTATGTTAGTGTAAATCTATAGAAAAGCGTATAACAAGGGCAGTTATTTACACTATTTACATTGTTCGGACTGTTGTCCTCATTGTTGCCATGTCTCCGTGCCCTGCCTCTTCTGGATGTTTCATTTATCTCCCTTTAACTCAACTCTCCAAGTTTTGGTTCAGTAGCCAGTTATTGAACTCATAACCCTTTGGGTCAGTGTCTGGCTCCAACCATCGGTTTTATCCACTAGGACACGTGTCCTTGAGGACATTCGTGTATGGTATTTTTTGGGACTTATAAACTTAATGTCTCAGTCACTTTTTTTTTTTTAACCAGAGCTCATATTGCAATTTTCGTTGTTATTATTGCTTTTCTCTAGCAATCCGTATTACTGGTTCCCATAGCGCATTCATTTCTATGCTTGACCTGTTTAGGAGAGTTTTGTGACCTACCATATATGTTGATTCCTAAAGTTTTCGTAATTTCCAATGATGTTCTCTGTCTGTTATTTCAACATCATCTCACTGGGGGTGCTGGATCACGTGGAACTAGAATAATCTATCCCGCAATAATGTAAATAATTACAATGCGTCATCTCAGAAATATCGACAGGTATAAATTGATGAAATATATTGCACATTATCGCGAGAATTTCGTTCAAAATTATCTATAAAATCCAATATTAACAATAAAGGATTATCCTCAGTGAATAAACAACACTGTAAAATCGGAAAGCGTGCCGTAAGTAATACCTCCTGCTTATTTCCACAGAAGCTGCAACAGATAAAAAGATTGCAATAGCACTGGTGGATAGAGTTTTCAATAAGATAATCTTTTCACATAGGCATCACTATTGTTCATGGATTTTTCGAAATGCTCTTCATTTTGTTGATTTACAATTATGCATAGAAAGTCATCATTGGTGAAACGCATTAACCACCGCGTAACTGGGTTCTGAACCTTTGTTTGATTTCCGTAAACCTTCAGCAAGCATCGACGAATGTCAATAGGTGACAATTTTTATAGCCGGGGGAATCATTTAATACACCTCAACTTCGTACAGCTTTTCATATCAGACGCTATGTTGTCAAACTTATATCAGTATGAAGACAACAAAATATGGCTTATTTGCAGCATGGCTCAACCTTTACAGAAATGCCAATAACGCCAGCCTGTGATATCGTACGTCAACTTAATAAAATCGGAAGTATTTTGAAAGAAACGATTTTATTTTGTTGTCTATAGCATATTTTGGAAATTCGTTGCAAACTCGTGTTTGCCTTATGTTCTTTAAGAAATAGTTATTTATTCGTACGTTCTTTAAGGAATAGCAAGCACGAGGATACGACTACGTTTTTTATTACGTTTATTTTTATTACGTTTTTATTACGTTTATTTTTCTTTATATACTAAGTAAAATGTAATGAAAGATCCAATGATAAGGCATTTGTGATAGCAAGTTGAATGATAGCAAATGTTACTCTAATGATATAATCAAGATGTTGACTCTTCATACTACTTTAAACGAAAGGTTAGGAAGGAAACCCTCATCAGTAACAGAAAGAGCGATAACAGTTATTGGACTTGAGAAACCTATTTTCCGGAAAAAACTGTTTTAACATAAAGTTTTTTATAAATTTCACCCGAGAATGGATGCTGATTTTTTCCTTATAAGGAAACAGCTAATTTCGAAATTACCATTACCATCGAACACATTCAACAGTAACCTATCAAATTGTATCTTCTCGGTCACTTACTTTTGATTTTAAGTATCTCTCTCTAAGCTGAAACCAAAGATAAAATCTCATATAAAAAAAAACAGCAAATGTCACGATATTATCTCCACCGAATTAAATAACTTACCTTAATTTTTGCCCTGATTGCTAGCTGGTCTCGTGTTTCGTCAGCGTTTCCAGGTGCAGTCCTCCGCCATAAAACATTACCGACAATCGAATAAGTAATTATTAACATGACAAGTGGTACCATACACGTAAGCAACATGACCACCCAGCTGTAGGCCATTCGGTGTTCCGGTTCTGACCACGTCTCGGCGCATTCCATTTTGGCGTTGTCGCCAATCCCGTGGACATTGGTTTTGGCAACGAAAAACTGAACAGACGCGATGGAGACAGCAATCAGCCAGATGCTGGCTATCGTGTAATGTGTCTTCGATGTGGTAATGCGAGATTTTAGCGGGTTGGTTACCGCTATCAGCCGGTCGATGCCTATGGCCATGTTGGTTGAGACACTCATTGTGACTGAGAAGAGTTGCAGGAAGAGGACGATCGGGCACATGGGTTTGGTAAAAATCCACGTACCCAGGATGACCACTGTGAATGTAAAAGGGATACAAAAGATGCCCATGATGAGGTCAGCTACGGCCAAGTTAATCAGAAATGGCCGGATGTCCGTGCGACATCGTTTGCCCGTGACAAACACAAAAATGGCCAGGATATTGCCGAAAACGGACGCAAATGTCGTCGCACAGTAGACGATGATCAAAACGCTTTTCACTTCTGGCGTTAGATAGAAGTGGTTCTCAGGTTCAAGCGTCCAGTTACCCGAGGTTTCTGTGGTAAGTGTTGTCGTCAGGACCATAGTGGTTGGCGATTGAGAAGGATGCTGCTCCAGGTCTAACGGGTTTGCAAGATTATAAAGTTGGTTGAGACGTCCATCAAGTTCAAGCATATTTGGCTGCCTTCTCGAATATAGCTTATCAGATTACGGACTTGGGATATGTTTTTGATATATCCGTTTTTATCGGTAGAAAGAATTTCGAAGAATATATTGGTTATATATAAAGAAGACTTAAAAACTGACAAAATATGACACTTTTTATAGGGTTAAAGAAATGTAGATGATTTGTGATAATTTGTTATCCTGGTGACAAACTGATTTGACAAAACTTTGTTTTTCGGCTGGACAAATATAGATGAATGATGAAATTTTGTCAATTTAACAAGTAGTTCATTGGACAGATTTCTGATAAGATTTATATTTGATCGATTTATTCGATGAAACTTACGTCGCTTTTTCAATTGAACAAAGAGTATCTTTCAACAAAGAATACCAACAAAGAGTATTTATAATTGAAATGTTTCAGATGATGATGCCTGAGACTCATATGGGCGAGAAATGTTTACTGACTCCGTTTCTTCGGCTCATTCTGTTCGACTCTTGTTGCCCTGTGTGAAAAAAAAAAAAAAAAAAAAAATAATTAATCTTTAAATGTTTACATATTACATTAAATTACTTTATTTAAATAAACATGTTTCATCTAGAATGTTGCATTTGAGCAATACATTATATTACACCATATCTGCATTTGAACAACATATTATTGTAATGTATAATATTTGCATTTGAACAAGACATCATTATATTGTATAAGATTTGCATTTGAACAACACATTATTGGATTGTATAATATTCCTATATTAATATGAATACTGTTTTGTTTTTGTTTTTTAATTCAAGTGGCCGTTTTCTTAAAACTCTTGTAGATAAAGCAGGAAATATTTTCCGAATACAAATATAAATTCTTTAAATAAAGTCTTTTAAATTGGTCAATTTAGACGATATCCATTCGCATGTGTGAACAATGACATCAAAATAAAGCACTATCAATATTAGAGAAGAGTTATGAAATTTCCACATTAGTTTACTTCAATGTTTTCCCCAATGTTTGTTTTATTTCTGTTCCCTAAATTCTGCGGGATGTTTAAATTGCAATGGTGTTAGAAGATTGTAAAACGACAATCTCCTGATACTGGAAGATACTGGAATGTATTGAAAAATGAGAAAAATGAAATGGCAGAAAACTTACCAGTGGACTTAACATTTGCAAAAATCTGGAGTCGATGTGCTCTATATAACATCAATCAATTAAGTCACAAATTTTATTTATATTAAATCTATCTGTCTATCTCTGTATATATATATATATATATATATATATATATATATATATATATATATATATGTGTGTGTGTGTGTGTGTGCGTGCGTGCGTGTGTGTGTGCATGATAACAATATAGTTTTCAGGTATGCTATATGTATAGGTTAACGGGCTTAATATCTGGGATAGAGCGTAACTAAATATAAAAGTGGAGACTGCAGTCAACACCAAACAGCGTCAGTAATTTATGTTTCAACGTAATCGTATGAATATTGTGTTCAAACATGAAATCGACAGTCACCGTTCGGTATAGACCATTATCCATATATATATATATATATATATATATATATATATATAGAGAGAGAGAGAGAGAGAGAGAGTGAGAGAGAGAGAGAGGGGAATATGGAAAAAGATTCTGGAGAACAAAAAAGAAAACATCACTGTGAAAAAAAGAACAATTCAAAAGAACATTTTCTGATCAGGTGTCTACCTATATTTATAGGAGAAGATTTCTCACTATAGTTTGTTTCATTCTTGAACGCATAAAACACACTGTCGCCACTCGGTGTTCACTTCATTGTACTCTTACACACACACACACACACACACACACACACACACATATATATATATATATATATTAATAAATACTAATATTTCCACCCTAAATCCTATTAAAAAATAAAATTAATTATGTACTACACTAAAGCTAGTATATCTAATTCAATTATTCGTTATGACTGTTCCCCACCAACCAACGTGTTGCAGAAAATCAAGATTGTATATGAATTTAAATGTCCTCTGGGAGATTGCATCTCCAACGGAAAAAAATAATATTTATGTTGGCCATACTACGACCACGTTGTCTCGGTGTCTGAGTTTTCACTTGAATGATGCGTTCAAGTTTTCTAAACATTTACAACAGCATACCTGTCCACATTCGCAATTCAGAAAAATTATTGTTGAAAATACATCTATCCATTTTCATGAAAATGCTAAATAACCTAAAAATTCTTGAAGCTATATATATATTAAAACATTGAAACCAAACCTTAATAAAATTAATTATGAATACTGCACAGATGTTTTAAAATATTTACAGTAGGTAGTTTAAAATATCAAGGTTTGTACTAATATTTTTAATACTTTTTTCTTAAAAAAACTCTCGACAACACCATAACTTAATTACATCCCCAGAAACGTTACGCAATCCAGTCGCACAATACTCAAATCAGCGTTCTTAACTTCACAACTCAAAAATTTTAACTTTCAGATGAACATAGCAATTTTATCTTTGAAAATGATGAACACTAATATATTTTTTTTTAAATAAACAACACCCTGATGATGACATTGTGCAAATGTCGAAAGTACTCGGAATAAATAATATGTATCAACACGGTAATGTTGTCTCTTTAATAATGACACCAAAGAGTTTGTCCGTGAATATGAAAGGATTCAATTGAAAATAAATAGACAAAACTTGTTTAAATTATTCAATGAAACATCTCTCAATATATATCTTTTTGTGTTCGGAAAGCAATTTCCTATTTTATCGCTATGAATTGCAAGTTTGAATTTAAATTCAATGTTATCTTCTGTCTTTTTTATTCTTTTTTTTTTTAAATGTTTTCTCTCCTTAATAATATTTTCTTTTTCTCATATTCTCTCACACTCAGTGTCCCTTTGCGTCACTGTGGCTTTATTGCATTGCTTGCAGCGACATGGTTAAAAAAAAGATTTTATTGGGAAGACTTACAAAGATGGAAGTTGGGTTCCTCGTGAGTTTTCACTTAACTGAAACAATTTTCCAACATCTGCAGCCTTCTTGTAGTAACCAGGAATCCCAATCTTTCATATTTGCATCGCGTTGCAAACGGTGGTTATCAGAGAATAAGAAACAGTGCCAATACCAAAACCAGAGATCCATCAACAGAAGTCCATGCATTGCGTCTAACAAATTATGAAATGTATCGTGTATTACGAGCTAATGAAACACGGAAGGACCATCGCTGCAGACCTTTATTTTCTTGAAACTTGATGGATAAACAACAGATTTAATCGAAAGTGTCCTGTTTTGATAAAGAGAAAATGTATTATTCTCCAGTATTACAATGCAAAGGATACACTGCAAAAGATTGTTAATATGGAAGGTTCTTCGACTTCGCCATATTCACCAGATTTAGCAGCTATAATTTTTTATTTGTTTCGGTCATTAGAATATTTTATAAGTGGCAGTATATTGAGAGACAAAGTAAGAAACTAAAAACAGTTTTCAATCATTTTTCATAGAAAACACCAGATTTCTTTAAGCGTGGAATCTAAAATCTGCTGCTGTCATTGAAAATGAAGGTGATTACATTTTTGATGAATAACATTTAAATAAATTTAACTTACGTTTATTTCTTATGTTCTTACTGGTAAAAAATAGTTAATTTCCAAACACTGTGCTATTTTTTTTCTATTTTGATTAAAACAATAAACAAGGAATATTTTTGGAATATTTTATTCATCATTTCTGGTTTCAGTCAAAGATATCTTTCTTTCACCTCCAGCCGTAAACACTACACGTATGTTGACAACACTGACGTTGTTTGTAAAGAAAAAGGTTTCAAATATTTGAAGGCGTTGTCATAAAAGCCAAAAACTGAAAATGAAATAAACAGTTATTTAATTTTCAAAATGGCATCTGAAATGTATCTGACGACTGACAGATGTATTTAAACCACGAGAAGAATTTTTAAAGTCACCTGGTTCATGACGTTGGGCTATTGCATCAAACGAAGATGCCCAGTTTAAAATTATGTTGAAATATGAATGGCGGAAAACAGTCATCATTTTTCTTGATTATAATTGAAAACGACAGATCTTAAACATCTGGAGAATATTTAAATTGATCAGATCCAGACATAAGTTTATTGCTTACCTCGATACCAACTACAAAAGCCGGTATGGCTACAGATTTACCTTTAATTACACCCAACTGGCAAGGTGCTTATTTGTTACAGCAAGCTTATTATTTTCCAAATAGTTTTCTCAGCGGCATGATTATTCGGTTCCAGATTAGTTAAAAATATAAAAATTCCTAACAAAAATTATTATGATACTGACGCTTATACTTACCTGTCGTGAACATCTATCTATCTATCTATCTATCTATCTATCTATCTATCTATCTATCTATCTATCTATCTATGTCTGTTTGTTATCTATCTATCTAGCATCGCAAATTATAAAGAGCCGAAGGAAAAAGTAAAAGATGTTCTCTCAATACTGAAGGAGAGGAAGGAAAAAAAAGAATACTGCCGAAGTGATTAGTTTTATATTTCTAAAATCTATGATAACCACGTTGTCATAAGATCTGCACAAGTTACTCTTATGCGTCAAAGAAAGAAAATATATAAGGAATAAAAAAATAAATGTATAAAAACGCAAAGCGAAGTTGAAATTTAGAAAAGAATTAATTTTTTATATAATTTTTTAGTCTTTGTTAAAACTTTTTGATAAAATTTTCTAGCGAGATTTATTTATTTGAGATATATAAATAGATATCAACATTTTTTAATTTGTAGGGAGTCATAAACCTTAATTTATAGAGATATTGATGCTTATTTATTTTGAGTTTATTTTTTTATAAAAAACAAAACAAAAAATGAAAAATGTTATTTATTAACGTAAAGAATTCTAAGTGAAAGTCTTATCGATAAATTTTCATTGCCCTCTTTTCAAATCCTGTCAAATCCGATTAAAAATAAGTAAGATCTCTAGCAAATTTATTTAAAAAAAAAATAGAGCATTTGAAATAACATTTTACTCGAAAATCCTTATTTTTTATTCACCTTTAAAAATAACCCTACAACTTGTAGATTCAATGAAACTGACTGTCACAGCTTGGTGTTGACCTCAGTGTCCACTTTTATATTTACACCCGATATATATTAAGAACTTTTAACCATAAATATAGCAGACCTTAAAACAATATTTTTATCACTCACACACACATAAACACACACACACACACACACACACACACACACACACACATATATATATATATATATATATATATATATATATGTAAACAAACTTATAAAATTTCAATAAAATATAAGGTGATATTTGTTTCTTTTTCAAATATGAATTCAATTGTAGGTTCGATTTTATTGTTACAATTCATTCAATTTCAAAAAAATCTCTCGCTGTATAGATGAGGGCTTAATAATAAATCCATCCACAAATGAAATTAATAGAACTCATAAATTAACTAAATAAAATCTAAGCGTCAATTGAAAATGGAAAATAAACGATACCTTACGCTTTCTTCGTATTCTTTTTGTTCAAGCTGATATCGGTTTAAAATTAAACGTCATATAAAAACGACCTTATTAATTCTTAAGACGCATTCATTTTTAGATTGTAAGAATGTTTTTGAGATAATAATGGTTTAGTGATACAAGTCTTACTAATTAAACCATAGAATGGGGAGGGAGGAAATATGTATTCATATCTTTCATTAGGGTATTTGCGCATAAGTTAATTTTAACGAACCCAGCTGGAAGTGAAACTCAGCTTTCCGATTATCAATTTCGAGCCAGTCTCCATTACACAAACCACACATCCAAGTTTGCAGTACCTTATATTCCCATGTGATCACCTATCTAGGTATGAATCCGGCTCGACGTTGCTTAACTTCGGTGATCATACAAAAACTAGCGCCTTAACGCGATATGACGCGATATGACCGTAAGCCATAGCACCCGCGCATCCATGTTAAGTTACGAAAAACTTGGTAATCCGTATTGGTAGTCCCAAGGAGTATGAAATCCTGAGAGCTCAATGTTAATTCAGAGCTAATAATTTAAAGAAAAACAGACCACTTTAAGGCTCCAATGTAATAGTTTATTTCACCAGAGACCTTTTAAAGGACGCTGGATCTTCAGACATCACTTCCAAAAAGGAAGCAATGGAGCCTTAAAATGGTTTTTTTTTAAATATATATATATATATATATATATATATATATATATATATATATATATATATATATTCTAAATCATACAAAATGTTTAATATATAAAAAATAAAGACACTAAACTGACTGAGTTTTCTTTTTTCAGGTTTCCAGATGAGACGTTTAGCCATCTTAACATCATCTGTCGTCAGAACACTGAAAAAACCCTTTGCGCTATTCAGCTAGAAAGAGAACGGGATAAAATCGTTTTGCGTCAACACCACTGTCTCCCCAACTGAGCAAATGGTGAGAGAAATGTATATATATATATATATATATATATATATATATATATATATATATATATATATATATATATATTGATGCATGTTTCATTAAATAATATAAGTTTTGTTTATTTATTTTAAGTTCCTCTCATATTGTCTGATAAACATAATATCATTATAACTGAAGGACGTTTATTTTTAATGTAGTTTCTCTTCTTTTCATACAAAAATGGTTGTTCCCATAATATGCAGAATATGTATATACTTCTTATCATTAGTTCTAGAGCTTTCTACCGATCTCTGCTTATCCTCAGGAACAAAGCGTTCAAGGAAAGCATCTCCATACTCCCTCAAGGAGGCACTTGTCTTGAACACCTACTGGAACTCAAACTCACTCCGGAATTCAAGTGCAACTCACCTATACGATCGCTAAAGTTGCTGGAAAAATGATAGGATCCTTGTTCCGCTCCAGTATCTGACCCCTCCTGCCCATGGTTTACACATCATACCAAGAATGGACTCTTGCTGCCGTATGTGGGTTGAAGCTGCCCAGTTCTCACTTGCCAGCCTTGATAGAGTTCAAAAACTTCTACGCAGCTTTGTGATTGAGGAATTATTTCCCAGCCTACAACTCTTTGATGAACTGATGAAACGTCGCAAGCCTCTCTCTACTCTATCGCTATTTTCATGGCAAATGTTCTGGCGAAATACATTTCCTGGTTCCACCAATTCTGAGCTTCGTAACTGGGACCCGCCATGCTACATGCGTAAAGATGTATTCCATTAGTAAGAAGGAAGTGCCACTCGGAGATCTTCTATCTAAGAAATGCTACTTTGTGGAATAAACTACCGCCATGATGTTTTCCCGATCACTAAATCTTAGCCTATTTAAGACTAGGGTTAACCGTTTTATCTCCTACATAACCATATAAACTACACTTCTTACCTCTTTTTGCGCTCACTCATAATCATTCCGCAGCACACTACCTTGAGTGGCTCCTTGGGCCTTGTACTGTGCGAGCATTAGTAAAGAAAAACATTAAAAAGAAAAACTGCAGTAGCCAGTTATTGAAATCATAACTTCTTGGGTCAAGTCACTGAGTCAAACCAATGCTTTTACACACTGGGCCATGTGTCTTTAAGGACTGGTTACTGTAGGGGTGAACAAAAATTGGATGGTTGAGTTAAAAGGAGATAAATGAGACATCTGGAAGAGCCATGGCACGTGGAAATAGAACAATCTATCCCGGTGGACTGAATAAAGAGTTCAGTTCAAAATTCCAATCAAATGAAGACGGTCGGAGCGTACAACGGCCGAAACGTCGCGAACATGACATTAAAGATGAGAACAACAGTCTGAACAATGTAAATAATGTAAATATGACAATACCTCATCTCAGAAATATATATATATATATATATATATATATATATATATATATATATATATATATAGATAGATAGATAGATAGATAGATAGATACAGATATATAGATATAAAGCTATATATATGTGTGTGTGCATGCATGTATGTAAGTATGTACATCAGAGTGATGTATGTTGCATGGTTATCGCCTTTCTTTCTGGATTTCAATGATTCGCATGCTTGAAATCATTAACATTTATTTACTTTCGTTTAAGCTATCAATATGTTTTTCAAAATTGTAAATGGCATTTTTCAAAGTAAATTAAGAATTCCCATATGTTGTTAAAGAATATTTTTTTATGAATTTTATTAACATTCTTTTAAATTCATTTTCGGACTCAGCGAACGTAAATGCTTCTATTTCGGATAAAAACAAATAAGAAAATTACTTTTATTTCTGTCCATAGCTATTTCAAAGTTTTTGGCTTAAACAAAATTGTTATTGAATTGAATTTTGTCATTGTTGAAATAAAAACGAGTGTTTTTTTTTTATTTATCCATTCATTTTCTTGAAATGCACTGCGGATTTATTTTCGTTTTGCCGGTTGGAAAAAACACAGAAAATAAAGATTAAGAATTATTTACAAAATAATGAAACAAATTTTGGTAGTGGTTGGCCTGATGGGATGTCCTGTTACATTTAAATTTACATAGAATGTTATTGAAGGAAGACGATAATGCAGCAATTTCAAATAATGTTCACGTCAATCAGAACAGAATAGAAAGAATTTTGTAAAAAACTCGGAATATTTGATAAAGAAATCGGATTCAACAGGAAACGAAATTCCGAACAACAGTCGCAGATTTCGAAGATTTTAAGACTTAAGATGAAGGATTGTTTTAATGAGGGTTAACTTTTTAAATTGTAAATTTAAATTATTCATATTCAATAACTTATTTTTAATTTCTTATTTAACTTTTTAAACTTCAAGTTTAGTGTAATGGCTTTAATATTTCTCATTTGCTCATAGTAACGTGCATGTGGTTAGATACTTTGTCTTTTGACTATATCTGTGGGCGCTCGCAAACAGTCGAATTTGTATCATTAGTAAAATAGTTTGCGGAAAGAACACGAGGAAATAAAAAAAAGAATGAGAAAGAAAAGAATACAAATGAAAACGAAGTAGAAAGAAAAAAGAAAGAAAAATAGTACAAAACAAATGAAAATAGAAATAGTGAGAGAAAATCATAGGAAGGAAGGAAGGAAGGAAGGAAGGAAGGAAGGAAGGAAGGAAGGAAGGAAGGAAGGAAATCATTCAATGATCAAAGAGGAAAAGAAAGAAAGACGGAGGAAAAGAAGTAAGGTAGGCAAGCGATGAAAAAGGAAGACGTTGATAGAGAAAGAAAGAAAGAAAAAAGATGGGAACAAGGCAGGCTGGAGGAAAGGAAAATTTTGAAAAGCAGAAAAAAAGGAAGAAAAAAGTAGGCAGCAATCTGGAAAAAAATGAAGATTTGGAAAGAAAAAGAAATCAAAACCGTCAATAATATCATATAATAAAAATATCATAAAAAAAAGAACTAAAAAGACCATGGTAAATAAATACGGAAGAGAAAGACACGCCCGCACGCACACACAGAATAGAATACTAATAAATATACATTTTGTTTCTCACCGTTTTGTACAACTCCTGTTTCATACACAGTAAAAAAAAATATATATATATATATATATATATATATAAAAGTGAACATTGAAGTCAACACTCAGAGGCGACAGGGAGTTTCATGCTAGACGCAGTGGTCAGACCACGATTGTGCCTAGCATGAAACAGCCTGTCACCTCTATTGATTTCAATGTTCACTTTTTATATTCACATACGTTATCTCTGATAATGAGCACTTTATCCCATAAAATATACCACACCTTAAAACTATATTTCATTATATATATATATATATATATATATATATATATATATATATATATATTCAGTTGCATTGAAACATGAAACAGACTGTCTCCAAATGGTTTTTGACCCCAATGTCCACTTTTATATTTATATACGCCCTGTCTCTTCTATTGAGCATTTTACCCATATAGAATAGGATACCTTAAAACTATATTGTTATCACACTAATGATCCGTTGGTATATAATCAAAGTGAATCCTATTAATATAATATAAAATATTAAATATTAAAACTGATTCACACAGAGAGCTCAATTTTTTAATCAAACCTCGCAACATATTTTTTTTATACAAAAGGAATTAATATTACATTACGTTAATGATCATTTTCACCTTGTAAATTCTAATAAAATTTAGAAGGATTTTTCAAACCAGTCAATGGATAATTAAATTATTGAAAAAAAAAAAAATATATTCAATATTTTATCATCCATTGACTGGTTTGAAAAAAACTTTGTAAATTTCAATTTACAAGGTGAAGATGATCACTAACCTAATGTAATCTTAATTCTATTATTATATAATATATATATATATATATATATATATATATATATATATATATATATGTGTGTGTGTGTGTGTGTGTGTGTGTGTGTATGTACATGTATATGTGTACATATATGTGTATGTGTGTATGTATGTATATATATATATCTTTGTGTGTATATATGTACGTATGTGCATATATGTGTAGATATGTGATTAATCATTTTTGTGTTTTGTATGTGTATATGTGTATGTGTATATAGGTGTATATATGTATATATGTAGATATATACATATGTACATAGGTGTAGATATGTAATTTTGTATATATTTGTGTATGTGTTTATGCATATAAATATATATTTAAGGCGTATATTGTTTTTATGTATAGGTCTTTGTATAATTGTATGTTTTATTTGATATCGTTGTATGTATGTATATGTATGAGTACGTGTATATTTATGTATATGCGTGTATATATTTGCACAATCTCCCATCAGAATAAGGTTACTAAACAAATTTACCAAACAACAATATTATTTTTATACTTTGTATTTCTTTATTTTTTATTTTTTTATTTTTTATTTATTAATATTATTATTATTATTATTATTAGTAGTAGTAGTAGTAGTAGTAGTAATCTGATTATTAATATTATATATTATATATTTTATATTTTTTCTGTGCCATTTATAATTTTTAAATTTTAAATTTTAAATTTCAAATTAAATTTATTTTTAAATTTTTATATAATAGTTGTTATTAATGATATTAATATTTTTTATATACTTTCATTTTTATTTTTTTTATTTTTTTCAATTTTTTATTCTTATATTGTTAATAATCTTTAATATATTTTCCTGTGTTAACTACAAATTGTATTAATCAAGATTAATAATATTATTAATATATTTAATTTTATTTTATCCCCACACTGTTGGTAGTCTTTAATATATTGTTATGTGTTAACTATAAATTGTATTGATGTGTATTTCTTTTAGTGTCACAGCGATATGCTTTCTTTCTTCTTACCTGTTTCCCTTTTTCTTTCTTCTTTCTTCTTTCTTCAACCTCCTTCCCCACTCCCCTGCGTTACCATTTGTCTTCTTTCCTTTTCAAAAGAATTATTTAAGAGGTCAAATTGTCTGGCCTTTTGGTTGAGTACACTTGATCCTACGTAACTTAATAAAAATTGAATTAAACACAACCTATTCTATTGTCCTTCCCTCCCACTCCCCCTGTCACCTTGCATCAATCTAAAAATATCCCTCAAAAACTTGTATTAAAAATAAAATTTAAAAAAATGTAAATTTGTAAACCAAATTCTTTTGTAACAAGAAATGTGATCTGATGAACACTATATTTTCTGGAGAGTTAAATTATAGTCATGGAACCTTAAGTTTGTCTGTTTTTTAATTTAATTAATTAATATTTGCTCTGTTGTTACATTGAGCTCTCTGGATTACATCCTCTTTTGAATTATCCATACGAATTACCAAGCCCTTCTTTACCTTACTATATATATAAATGTGTATTTGGGTAGTAATCATTTTTTATATGTTTCATTAAAGACACGGTACTACGATTAAGCTTTTTATTCAATTTTTCCTTTCTTCGTAAGTTCGTATAAGTGATTTCTTTTCTGGACATAATGTGAAAAAATTGTCCGAATGTGCTATATATCCGAGCACTTTGAGTTATGTTATTAGCCATTACCAAAGATTTTATTGTTTTTGTTAAATGAATGTTTACATATATTTCTAGAGTGTTGGTAATGTTTTTTTTTTTTTTTTTTTACTTTTCAAACTCGGTTAGCACAAAGTGGCCGTGTTCATAGTTGATGTTATTGCTTTTCCTTTTTTATAATTAGTGCCAACACTGTCAGTCGTCTTTAATGAAACACACCTGCACACACATACACACGCACACACACACACACACATATATGTAGGGAGACAGAAAGAAAGAGGGGTGGGTAAGATTCTGGGAAAGACAGATAATTGCGCGTTAACCCCATCAATGTAACTTGGGGAAGTAATTCGCCATCGTAGCTATTTCAAGTGACGTTCATAAAAGTCTTAAATTTCCTTCCACACGTTTCTCGGCATTCAACCGCGAACGAACGATCGTCAGTGAGGAGACGATCATTGCCTTCTTTTTTTTTTAATTCCAGTTTATGACGAGGGCCTCAGGCAGTCGGCAGGTAAGAGTGTTGGATGAAGAACAAGTCTGATAACAAAAAAAAAAAAAAAAAAAGAAAAAAGAAAATCAAACACCAACAATCATTCCAACGAACAGAAGCGATGAAATTAATGTTTACTTCGCAAGTCTAGATTATCTGAATTCGAACATTTCTTTCTTTCTTTCTTTCTTTTTTCTTTCTATTTATTTACCTCCCTTTTTTCTTTTCTATCTATCTATCTATCTATCTATCTATCTATCTATCTATCTATCTATCTATAACTTTAAATCAGTCGGTTCATCTCTCGATCTATTTTTATATCTACTAAATTTTGATCTATGTAACTTATATCAGTCTGTTCATTTATTTATCTATAGCACTAACATAATTTTAGAATATGCATATTGGAAATTGATTCTTACAATCCCAATAAGGAAAGACAGGATGTCTTGGGGAATTTAGTGATGCGTATATCCAATCATAAATATCAAAGTGCGAATGGATAATATGCGACCATAAATATTGATATCACATTAAACTGACACTGGGGGTTAAGACGGCCTTTTACAAAATAACAAGGATGATACGGCTAACTGCTCAGGAGATCAACAACATTTAACAAATAAAATATATCTCTTTGCCTTTTTATGTGAAATCAATAATTATGCCTGAGAATGATACCAAATAATTTGATCGACTTGAGCTTTTTTTCCAATTTTTAACCTTTTTGTTTCTATTTTCCGAAATTTTTCTTTCTCTTACTCTCTCTATCTATTCACACTCTCTTTCTGTGTGTCTCTTTCTCTTACTCTTGCTTACATATATATATATATATATATATATATATATATGTGTGTGTGTGTGTGTGTGTGTGTGTGTGTGTGTGTGTGTGTGTGCAATTTACAAGTTGCTGAATATACGGAGTATATTGTAGATGGTGCATTTGTGGATCTAAACAGTGTGGGAGTGGTCTGATGACAGCCATTTACTATCTCAGTGTTTATTTCTCTGTTCACATTATATTCAATTCATGACGATATTTCCAATATAGTGAAAGAGAAGGAGTAAACCATTTACAAGGAACCAAAACTCAATCCTAATCAGAAAATAAGGGACAAATCTTTATTCCTGTTTAAAGGTCCTGGGAGGAGTGTGGACCGGATGATAGGTTCATCTATCTACTCCTGTTGAGAAAATAATAAATAAAAAATAAATAGCAAATAAAATTTCAGACTTCAAGCAGAGACGTTAGAAACACAATTGATGTCGACTTTAGAAGGAACTGGAAACTTAATCCTAAACATGGAACAATACATAAACCTCTCCTGTTCAAAACGCGTGAGTGTATTGTTTAAAATTTGCTATATTTGTTGGAGAAGAGCGCTTAGTATCGGAGATAGAGTCTTTGTTAATATAGAGTGTGGACATAGAAATCAATATTGCAGGGCAACTGTCAATTTCAGGCCCTATGAAGATCGCTTGAAACTGGCAGTACGTCGATTCAGAAGGTAGGCTCCTGTTTTGACTGATGGACACAAGAAAAAAAGCTCATTATGTATTTTTAAAGAAAACAACCCCTTGAACAAAACAACAATAGAAGAAGACGTTTTTGAACGGTATTTTGTTATTGTCACAATGCTAGAGAGAAAGAGCAAGTTCTTTTTTTTTGTTGCAAATGTCCATTTGGCAGAAGGTAAGAGCTTTGTCAATCAAAGGTAAAACTGAAGCGATTGAAGCCAAATAAAGCGATCAGCATTTTAAAAAAAAGTCTTGTTCTATTTGTTATCATTATAGAATTTTTACAATAAGAATATTGAGAACTTGTAGGGCATCTTTTTAGGAGCTCTCTCTCTCTCTCTTTTCTCTCTCTCTCTCTCTAAGCAACGGAATATTTTTGTGATGCGAAAGATATTAACCTCTTGCATAAATCCTTGACTAAATTAAATTCTGTGACAATCTTGAAATAGATGTATTACTGTATTACCAGCCACTACAAAAAATAAATAAAAATAACAACAGAAAAATAGGCTATACATAGAAGATTAATGCTTTTGAAGGCAAACAGTTTCTACAATTAGATAGTGTAGCGACAGAATACACTTACTTCGCCGCACGAACATGGCTGACGTCGCGAGGGAGCAAGATGTCACAAGGAGCAGTCATTTGCAATCGTCCCACTACACATGTGTGACGCTACTTTTTAAAATACTATCGATCACTGAATGCGTCATTGGAAATATTAAGAAATAGTGGATCTCACTGTCAGATAGGGAGCGAATTCGTAGTGTATGCAGCGTTTGTTTGGATCAGAGTGCGTACAAGTTTCGCTGCGAGAGTTGAACCCTGTTTATTCGTCGTGCGCCCTGTGATTCGTTGTGCGATCTATGCTTTTGACCGTTGACTCATCGCTCCATCACTCTCTATGAATGGTGACAGTTCCTACACCGTGACATCCTAGGCATGTGCCGTTGATGGTCACGACGTCCACGCGTTGATTTCTCCACACACGACGGTGATTCGCACTAATTATTGACCGGGAACATCCCGTGCAGATCAGTGCTGAAGACGACACACCCTAACCTGGACGCCAATTACAGGCAATGCTGAATTCATTGTCTGACGGGGAGGAGGGAAAGAGTAGCGACAATACCTTGACCCCGATAGCACCGCAGGGTTCCAAGTGATCGTTGATACCCGCTCCCCTTATCACTTAGACTCCAGCACACCCTAGAAAAATGATTGGGACCATCATATTTATAGTATATGGGGCCTTCACACCTGTTGCCAACCGAGGTAGGATCCGCATTGCTTCCATCGTGCTAGATGATGTTTCCTTGAGGAGGTTCTGAGATCGGCCAACAGATGGTCAGTCGGTAATTCGTCAATCCGAGAAGACGCCCGCAAAAAGCCAACCGACATCCTCTGGTAATTTAAAAAAAAAAAAAAAAAAACGCAACCCAATATCTGCTCATTCATGTCGCCAAACGACTCTATTTCGCGTAAATCTGCTAGGGAAGATGTCAACCGTTTTTCCGGGGCGAAGTCGCCTCCCAACGAACTGTTGCCCATGCAACAAAGGCGTCAGTTCGAAGGCGCGTATCAGGGACCAAAGCAGCAAGTGAGATGTTGGTGCGGAGAAGATTGGCGATCGTAAAGCAACTAGTCGATGAATACAGCTTAGTGGTTGACGTTAGGCTGAATGTATCAAAGCAGAATCTGACAGATAAGCTGACCCGAGTTTGGATCCTTGTTTCATCGTATCAAGCCACCTCTTTAGGTGGCTTGATATGATGAAACAAGGATCCAAACCCACACCGTTGGCATGCGCTCACTTGACAGACCAATTAACACCGGAGCAGATCCGTGCCATACATCGACAAAGTGGACATCTTGGCGTTCGGCGCACCACCTACGAAAAGTGCGTCCATCAAATACGAAGGCGATCATCAAATCAGTCATAAGAGCTGATGGAAAGTGTCAGACGGTGGACCCAGCTCCAGTCTATTGGTGAAAAGGAAAGTTTAGCATGGAGAGCAACTGGTACTGGTTAGGTATGGACGTAACGCATTACGATGGCAGTCACTTTCTAACATTGGCAGTTTGTGGCCTAACCTTATGGTGCATCGACCATTATACAGCAACTAAGATCTGTTTTTTATGAACCCAGCCTACCGGTCGAAATATTAATCAACAATGTTCCATCCTTTTTTGGCAAAGAATTTCAGACCATTGCAGATGAATGGGGAGTGGGCTGCGTACGAGTGCAACGTGACACCTAAGGATGACGCAACACCATCAACTGCACCAGCAAACTGAATCTACCGGTACGAGCAGCCAGTAAAAAGGAATAGATGTGGCACCATCACTTATTGAAAGTGTAGATGGGAGACCTTGTCTGGGTTAAAACCCAGAAGAGATGATGAACTACTAGATTCGGCAAGGGACCAGTCGATAAAATAGTCAGCTCTCAAACAGTACCAATTCATGGTGCACTACACCATGTGAAAGATCATTGCTCTTGTTATGGATCGAGGTCCCGGAGGAAGATGAAGGTAGTAGACGTCTAAGAGTGACTTTGCTGCCTCTTTCAACGGGATCGGGCAATCCGCCTACAGACACAGAAACGACCGTAACAGAGTCATCAGATAATGATGACGATAAGAGTGAGAAGACTGGGAACGAGGGAAATCATATGGGCACAGAAACGGGAGAAATGCATGCAGAAGAGTCCTCTCCCCACCTAGAAAGAAGTACTCGGCGAAGGCAGTCACCGTCTCCCTGCCATTTATGTAACAGTGATAGTGATGTGATATCAAGGAGGAGTGTAGCGAGAGAATACACTAACTTCGCCGGGCGAAGCGGGCACGTACCTGTTTGGCGTGTAAATCAAACATAGCCGACGTTGCGAGGGAGCGACGATGTCACGATTGCCATCTGCGGTGTACCTCTACGCATGCGTGAAGCAACTCTTTTAAATACTATCGGTCATTTGCATGTGTGATTGGAAATAGTAACAGTGGATCGCACAGACGGTTGGGCGATTGAAGCCAAATAAAGCGATCAGCATTTTAAAAAAAAAGTCTTGTTCTATTTGTTATCATTATAGAATTTTTACAATAAGAATATTGAGAACTTGTAGGGCATCTTTTTAGGAGCTCTCTCTCTCTCTCTCTTTTCTCTCTCTCTCTCTCTCTCTCTAAGCAACGGAATATTTTTGTGATGCGAAAGATATTAACCTCTTGCATAAATCCTTGACTAAATTAAATTCTGCTTGACAATCTTGAAATAGATGTATTACTGTATTACCAGCCACTACAAAAAAATAAATAAAAATAACAACAGAAAAAATAGGCTATACATAGAAGATTAATGCTTTTGAAGGCAAACAGTTTCTACAATTAGATAGTGTAGCGACAGAATACACTTACTTCGCCGCACGAACATGGCTGACGTCGCGAGGGAGCAAGATGTCACAAGGAGCAGTCATTTGCAATCGTCCCACTACACATGTGTGACGCTACTTTTTAAAATACTATCGATCACTGAATGCGTCATTGGAAATATTAAGAAATAGTGGATCTCACTGTCAGATAGGGAGCGAATTCGTAGTGTATGGAGCTTTTGTTTGGACCAGAGTGCGTACAAGTTTCGCTGCGAGAGTTGAACCCTGTTTATTTGTCGTGCGACCTGTGATTCGTTGTGCGATCTATGCTTTTGACCGTTGACTCATCGCTCCATCACTCTCTATGAATGGTGACAGTTCCTACACCGTGACATCCTAGGCATGTGCCGTTGATGGTCACGACGTCCACGCGTTGATTTCTCCACACCCGACGGTGATTCGCACTAATTATTGACCGGGAACATCCCGTGCAGATCAGTGCTGAAGACGACACACCCTAACCTGGACGCCATTACAGGCAATGCTGAATTCATTGTCTGACGGGAGGAGGGAAAGAGTAGCGACAATACCTTGACCCCGATAGCACCGCAGGGTTCCAAGTGATCGTTGATACGCGCTCCCCTTTTATCACTTAGGACTCCAGCACACCCTAGAAAAATGATTGGGACCATCATATCTATAGTATATGGGGCCTTCACACCTGTTGCCAACCGAGGTAGGATCCGCATTGCTTCCATCGTGCTAGATGATGTTTCCTTGAGGAGGTTCTGAGATCGGCCAACAGATGGTCAGTCGGTAATTCGTCAATCCGAGAAGACGCCCGCAAAAAGCCAACCGACATCCTCTGGTAATCCTGTTTAAAAAAAAAAAAAAAAAACGCAACCCAATATCTGCTCATTCATGTCGCCAAACGACTCTGAGATTTTGCGTAAATCTGCTAGGAAGATGTCAACCGTTTTTCCGGGGCGAAGTCGCCTCCCAACGAACTGTTGCCATGCAACAAAGGCGTCAGTTCCGAAGGCGCGTATCAGGACCAAAGCAGCAAGTGAGATGTTGGTGCGGAGAAGATTGGCGATCGTAAAGCAACTAGTCGATGAATACAGCTTAGTGGTTGACGTTAGGCTGAATGTATCAAAGCAGAATCTGACAGATAAGCTGACTGAGTTTGATCTTGTTTCATCATATCAAGCCATCTCTTTAGGTGGCTTGATATGATGAAACAAGGATCCAAACCTTACACTGTTGCATGCATGCGCTCACTTGACAGACCAATTAACACCGGAGCAGATCCGTGCCATACATCGACAAAGTGGACATCTTGGCGTTCGGCGCACCACCTACGAAAAGTGCGTCCATCAAATACGAAGGCGATCATCAAATCAGTCTGGCAGAGCTTATGAAAAGTGTCAGACGGTGGACCCAGCTCCAGTCTATTGGTGAAAAAGGAAAGTTTAGCATGGAGAGCAACTGGTACTGGTTAGGGTATGGACGTAACGCATTACGATGGCAGTCACTTAACATTGGCAGTTTGTGGCCTAACCTTATGGTGCATCGACCATTATACAGCAACTAAGATCTGTTTTTATGAACCCAGCCTACCGGTCGAAATATTAATCAACAATGTTCCATCCTTTCTTGGCAAAAGAATTTCAGACCATTGCAGATGAATGGGGAGTGGGCTGCGTACGAGTGCAACGTGACACCTAAGGATGACGCAACACCATCAACTGCACCAGCAAACTGAATCTACCGGTACGAGCAGCCAGTAAAAAGGAATAGATGTGGCACCATCACTTATTGAAAGTGTAGATGGAGACCTTGTCTGGGTTAAAACCCAGAAGAGATGATGAACTACTAGATTCGGCAAGGGACCAGTCGATAAAAAGTCAGCTCTCAAACAGTACCAATTCATGGTGCACTACACCATGTGAAAGATCATTGCTCTTGTTATGGATCGAGGTCCCGGAGGAAGATGAAGGTAGTAGACGTCTAAGAGTGACTTTGCTGCCTCTTTCAACGGGATCGGGCAATCCGCCTACAGACACAGAACGACCGTAACAGAGTCATCAGATAATGATGACGATAAGAGTGAGAAGACTGGGAACGAGGGAAATCATATGGGCACAGAAACGGGAGAAATGCATGCAGAAGAGTCTCTCCCCACCCAGAAAGAAGTACTCGGCGAAGGCGGTCACCGTCTCCTGCCATTTATGTAACAGTGATAGTGATGTGATATCAAGGAGGAGTGTAGCGAGAGAATACACTAACTTCGCCGGGCGAAGCGGGCACGTACCTGTTTGGCGTGTAAATCAAACATAGCCGACGTTGCGAGGGAGCGACGATGTCACGATTGCCATCTGCAATTGTACCTCTACGCATGCGTGAAGCTACTCTTTTAAATACTATCGGTCATTTGCATGTGTGATTGGAAATAGTAACAGTGGATCGCACAGACGGTTGGGGAGCGAATTGGTAGAGTGCGGAGGTTTGTTTGAACCAGGGTGCGTAGAAGTTTCGCCGTTTTGACCGTTAACACAACTCGCCCCGGATTGTGATTTAAATTCAGATAGATATATAGATAGATAGATATGAATAAGACGGAACGAAAACTTATCCTCCCCGACGCGTTTCGACCTCTGAGGGATTTTACGAAGGCAAATGTGAGGATGTTATTTTGCATTCAACAAGTATTTATAAACAGATGTAGAAATGCATTATTTACATTATCCAGACTGTTATTCTTATCTTCATTGCAATATTCACAACGTTTCGGCCGTTGTACGCTCCGACCTTCTTCAGATGATTGGAATTTCGAACCGAACTCTTTATTTTGTCCACCGGGCTAGATTGTTTTAATTCCACGTGCCATGCTTCTTCCGGATGTCTCAGTTATTTCCCTTGAACTCAACTCTCCAAGTTTTTGGTTCACCACATGAACTTACAACTATTTTGGTCTAGTCACTGGACCTAACCAACGTCTTTATCCACTGGACCATGAGCCCTTGAAGACAGCTGTGTATGAATTTTTGGAACTTATAAACCTAATGTCTCAGCAACCATTTTTACCAGTGCTCATATTGCAATTTTTCTGTTATTATTATTGCATTTTTTACCAGAACTTATACTGCAATATTTATTGTTATTCATTGCATTTCTTTCGCACTCCTTATTACTGGTTATCATATTGTATTCATTCCTATGCTTGGTCGACCCAGGTGATTTTTGTAACTTAGCATATATGCTGATTCTTTAAGTTTTCCTATTTTCCACTGATGCTCTCTGTCTATTGTGTCAACCTCATCCCACAGGGGACGGTGGTCTCATTTTTCCCTCCATATGTGGTCAGCTACGCCTGATTTTTCTATTTCCCCTAGTGTTAACTCTTTACGATGTTCTTGTAGTCTTACCTTAAGGGTACATGGCAGCAGCTCCAACAAACTGAGATAGAAGGGTACAAGAGGATGACAGCACTTAGAAAACAGCTTCAGTCTGCCTACCCCATGTGAAGTGATTTTCGGATAAAATACAAATGATCTGTGGTCCATATAACATAAGAGCAACCTTCAACAGTGGTTCAACACTTCGCAGATACCTCTTAAGTGTAAGACCCCACCATAGAGGAGAACATGACTAAGGACAGTGTGTACGCCATCATGTTTAATATATATATATATATATATATATATATATATATATATATATATATATATATAATAGATAGAAAAGACAATATTTATAAGGCATTTTTGAAAGCAAAAGCTAAAATAAAAACAACCGGTTTCGTCCCAGGACTTATCAAGTTTATGATTCATTGAATAATATAGATATATATTATAGGTATATACAGTATTATGTCTACATATTTTTTATAAATCCTTTCTAGATTGCTAATCAGTTTCTTGATGTTTAGATAAAATGAATCAGGGAAGGCATCAATTACTTTCTATCTTTTCTAAGATTATCCTCAGGGTAAATTACAAAGACAAACTGATTGTAACTCCGATAAAATCTGCATTCTGTTGTGATGGTGATTGTGAAAAACACGCGCGAACGTGCTCTGTTATAGTTATTTTTTACTTTTTAAATTTATCCGTTCCAGTTATGACAGTTTTTGCAAGGAAAGGTGACCAGAAATTGGTAGAAATGTAAAATGGCATTAAATGTTAATGTAATGTTGTTGGTATATTTTCAAATAAAATTTTTTGAATGTTAGTTGGTCGATTTTTATATAGATGGCCTCGAGAATTTGAAGATTGGTCCAAATATACAATTTTGTGAGTAAAGAAATATGTTGCTTTAACTAATGTTAAAATATTTTTAAAACATTTAAACATTTTTAAAAACTTTTTAAAATTAAACATAAGAAATAACACATGAAACACACATACATATATACAAAATAATGAAACTAAATATATTTGTTTTTAATAGATATACATTTTTTCCATCGGTAGAAAAACCTCTCAAGTTTTTATTTTATTAATAAATTAATATATACTTTTAAAAAAAACATTTTATTTTACATCGAGTACAATTATTTTTATTTTTATTTTTTATTAAACAAGGTTTTTTAAATCAAAATTTAGAATATTCTAAAAGATGGAAAAATTTAAAAAAATAAAGTTCCATATATATATATATATATATGTGTGTGTGTGTGTGTGTGTGTGTGTGTGTGTGTGTGTGTGTGTGACAGTAAAGAAAATTGTCCACGTATTTCTTGCGAAGAGCTTTGTCCGTTTAGGTTTTTCTTAATAGCTGCTATCTGTTTAGTTAAAAGGAAAGAACAAAAAATCGCATCCTCCAATTTGCC